AGCTTATTAACTCCATGTTTGGCTAGAGAAAGCAAATGAAAAGGAAAAAGATAAAAATAAAAAAACACTTGTGACATTAAAAAACAAACAAAGCTATGCAAAAGAAAGAAAAACCTAAAATAGAAGTTAAAACAAAATTAAAAATGTAAGTTATAACTTTTTTTTTGTCAAAAACACAAGTCATAGCTAAACCACGGTCACTTTAACTTGAAAAATTTATAATAAAATTTTATATTAAAATTAAAAACAAATAAAAAACTATATAAGTGAACAAAAACATAATTTTAAATTACTTAAAATATTTTAACTGAATAGGTTACTCTAATTTATATTCTACAGTATTATAAAATCCTCTTAATTGTCATTTTGAACTTTCAAACCTAATCAATAAAGTATATAAAAATATGTTATTTAATTAAATTTAATATCATATTAATATAATTTGAATAAACGAAATGTAATGCAATAAAAATGTCAGTACAATTATCCATTTCCTATATTCATTGTCAATCTGAAACTGGTCTCATAATAAAATCTTAATAAACTTAAATCACAAAGTCATATACATTCCACTTGATTTAATTATTTTCCTATTCATAAATGATTAAGTTGACTTTGGCTGATGGAGTACAGCTATTTGGTTGACTGTAGAATCAAGTTTGAACCTCTTTTTAGGAAATTGAGAAGAGTATCTCCTTAACTTGGACCATGCAGTGGAGGTGTGTGTCATGTGAACATAAGAAGCTTCTTGGCTGCCGAATTCCACTTTAGAAAAATAAAAATAAAAATTAGATAAATTATTATAAGTATTTTTAATTAAAATTTTATTTAAATAATTTATAATAACTAACTACAAATTTTTATCAAAATAAAATATAAATTAATAAATAATAGCTAAGGAATAACATAATATATATAATATAAAATAAAATAAAATCACGGTCCACTGTGGGACAAAGATATAAACATTTTCAAAGCAGAATATGATTATGAAATTGACCAGGATGCGAGTTTATGGAATTCAGGCTGGCATGGTGGGCGATGAGCAGTATAAAAGGCCACTACCTTACTATACATCCATTGTTACATTCAATTAAAAAATTCAATTATTCAATATAATATTAAGGATTTTCTCTTTTTTGTTTTTGTTTTCTGCTATAAGATAATAATTCAACAACATAATGTGTAACTAAAATAATTTAAATAAGTTTAAAATTAATACAACAAATTACAAAATAACTACTTTATGAACTTATATTTTCAGTGATTGCAATTTCTAAAATCTACCAAAACATTATATGCTAATATTAATGATGATAATATATAGAGTTAAAATAATAAAATTATGTCTGCGGGTCCCGCATGGATTCCCATGAATTGGTATGAATAGTGGGACTTGACTCATATCTATCTAGTGAATAACTTTTTTACGCCGTTTCGTTTGTCATTCCTAATTATAAAGCTAAGTAAAAAGCAAAAAAGTTGATTAAGAAGTTAAATTGTGAATGTCAAGTGGTGCAGCTTTTGTTAACGAGGAATAGATGTGTGTTGGGTATTGGATCATTCTATGCATCTGTGTATATCCACATAATGATTAGACACTGAATCCTTGTTTTATTTTTCTCCACACAAATTCAACTCTATAATCATAAGTATACTTCGCATTTAACTAACACAGCTACGCTAATCCGTATCTTCAAAGTTAAATGTTAGTTATATTCGTTACTCAAGCTGAAGATTGAGGCTCATTTTTTTAAATATGTAAATTCATCTAAAAATTAAAATTGAGTAAAACGCGTCAATGACAATTTTATGTTGCAAAAATGAGTTTTTTAAGATGAAAAATTATTATTAACGAATTTTAGGTAGAATTTTTTATTCGGTGAGTTGAGTCATTCTGGAAGAGATTTGAATGCCTAAAATAGTTTTTGGTATTTTTTAAACTCTCAACTATATAAACTGAGTTTCTCCTCGTATTAATTGGATAAGATTTTAGCAAAAGAAAAAAAAAATGCAAATATAGTAGTACATTTTAATAGTAATATTGTTCCAAACATCATTAAAGTGTGGCATTTAGATGCAATAAACTAACATATTTATATTTTTTATGCAATATATCTTAGAATTTTGACTTATTCAAAATATTAAAATTGAGACTCTTAAAATAGACAAGACCAAAACATATATATGTCTTATTTAATTTTTGTACGGTTTCATATAATACAAAACAATTCCAATAACAATGATGTTCAATAAATATTTTAAATATATCACAATAGTAACATGCTTCAACTCCTACTATTGAGTTGTATGTTATTTTTAAAAATGTTCTTGTTGGCATTTATAAACAAGCTTATGATGAGGAAGAAGAACTTGAGTCAAGCACAATTTAAGAGAGAGAATGGAACAAAACATAAAAAAAAAAAAGTGATGACATAACATTGCTAACATGATTATATTGATTATGTCTATAGGATTAATGAAATTTGAAAAGTTTATAATAGTTTGGAGTCATTGAAAATGAAAACACGTAACGGCAATATAAAGGCTCAAGTCTTTGTCTTAACCCTACCTTAAAATGCACCATTAAAGATTTTCTCAATCAACTTGTTTCCTTAATAAAAGGAATATGCAGGAGATGAGAAAACCACGACGATGTAGTTTTTGCTTAAACAAAAGCCATACACGAGGCCAATGTCCAAATGTTACTAGGCTTAGTTTATGATTAATACCTATTTCATGTTTTCAAATGTTGTCATGCCCATTCTTATAATAATATCATGCAACTACAATTTTTTTTAGCTTCATATCATATGGCATGATCTAATTCTCTATAAAGACTAGCTAGGCATTCCAAACCCCAACTATAAATTTCAATTTTTATTCACATTTTGCAACAATTCCAATAATTTTAGATGTGCATAGACATTGCTTTTATTTGACATTAGAACATGTACTAACAAAGATAATATATATTCATGGGTGTGTTATGCCATCATGATGTTGAAATTAATAGGAAGCCAACTAAGATATTGTGTTAGCCACTTTAAGCTTATTTTTGAATCTCCCATATCATTTAATTTAGGTTAGTAGTCAAGTAACTCTTCACACGTGTCCTGAATTGTTACAATATTTGGATTAGTAGAATAAAATACCGGTAGATCATTGATGTGAAATCCAAACAACAAAACATCTTCTAACGTGATTATACATTTTTTATAAGAAAAATAAAATGCATGTTTCTAGCCTCTACCCTAGTCAACAAGTGTATTATCAATAGAGCTGTTTATTTACATTTGCAAATTTAAACTACATGATCTAAGCCAATGTTTTGTAAAATATGTATTTCAGCTTAAGATGATGTGATTGATCATGAAGTCGTAATTGTCTCATTGCCTATTACAAACAATCAAAACTTAATTAATGGCTAAAATATCAAATAATTTTACACCAGTATATATTATTATGTTAATATAAAAAAAATTAAACCACACCAAATAATTATAAAATTTGATTAATTGCTAAATGTAATATAAAAGTGCATATATTATTTTTTAAATCAATAAAATTATCTGTTCATACAATATTATATATTATATTATTGATATATTATTTTATTGTTAAAAAATTATAATATATTTTAACAATTTTTTTAAAAATATACAAATAAAAATTATTATTCCAATGTGAAATAATTAGTATACATAACATTAAACAAGTTTTATATGAAATGAATGATGTAATTAATTAAAGAATACACTTTTTTATTAAATATTGTTAAGTGTAGTTTCTCTGTAAATTTAAATTTATTAAATTTATAATCAATACTTTAAATTTTGGTTACCAAAATTCAAATAAATTTAGATTTATTTTTATTTAAATACATATTTTACAGATAATTTATACTAATAATAATTATAAACAATATAATGACAATCACTTACATTAGAATTACGAATCAATTTTCTTTTTTTTTCTTTTTTAATTAAAATATACACTCAAAACATTTTAATTTCAAACATACTAATATTTCTATCTATTTTATTTAAAAAAAAACACTTCTTCTCATTCATTATCTCTCTCCTCTCTTTGATACTTTTTTCTTCTTGTGATAGCATTTTTCAATCTTTAACTCTCAATTTTTTTAGCCCCACAACGTTTTTACTGATTTCTTTACCAAGCTAGCCTTTATATAGCATTAAATTTAGCCACTGGGCAAATTTTTGAACCTTAAAAAATACAAAAAAAAAGTTGTTAACTATATTCATGATGAGATTTATTTTCAAAGATTTCCTTCTATAAAATCTTACCATTGGTGAGATTTACAACACCTAAAAATACTATCATGCACACATTGAAACCCATATTTTAATAATTTATTACTTTAAATCTCATTAAAATTAATTTTCTAAAAATTGAAAGAGAACAAAGAAAAAATATATATTTAAGTTTAAAAGAACATAAATTTACACTTATTTCAATATTATCAATTATACCTTACTCGCTTAAATCTTTATAGGTTGTCTAACTTAAAAATTTAAAGAGAGTTAAAAGAAAATTAATGACATCCCCTGTTGCTTGGTTGTACCAAATGGTAATAATTGCAATGTAGAAAAGCAACAAACATGTACCTTACCACTGGAACTACCAATGCCATAATCTCTATGGGAACCCTGGCATTAGGTCAAGCCTTACCTTGCACGTTCCTCTGTTCTGCAACATGCATTCATTGTACAACCATCTCTTTATACTCTCACCGACACTGCTATTTCCCTTTTTCTTTATTAATTTCTCTACGCGCATTTACGCTTCCTCTCCACAAAATCCTTTTTATACATCTAATTTAATAATTATGAATGATCATAATTTAATAAATAATTTTTTTATTGAAAATATAATAGTTAATTGTACAAATGCACAGAAAATTGAAACGCAACTCCACCTCACTCTGCCTATAAATGCTCATTATGCCAAAACATGTATTCACAAACACAAGCAAAGAACTAGATCCTCAAAACCCTTTTCACTGAACTTGAAAAAGAACTCAAATGTCATTAACCCCACCATTTTTTGTATTCCTCTTTCTCTTAGCACCGTTGGTAGTTCTAGCTCAATCTCCAACACCTCCTACAACTCCTTCTTCTTCTTCTTCTTCTGCTGCTGCCTGCAAAGGCACATTGTACCCAAAACTATGCCGTTCCATACTCTCAGCCATACGTTCCTCACCTTCAGACCCATATGGGTATGGCAAGTTTTCCATAAAACAAAGCCTCAAACAGGCGAAAAAACTAGCCAAGGTGTTTGAGGACTTTCTCCAACGCCACCAATCTTCATCTTTGAACCATGAAGAGATTGGTGCACTTGGTGACTGCAGAGACCTCAACCAACTCAACGTGGACTACTTAGTGTCCATCTCTGAGGAACTCAAATCGGTGAGTTCCTCAGACCCGGAGCTGGTTGAGAAAATTGAGAGCTATCTCAGTGCTGTGGCCACCAACCACTACACTTGCTATGATGGGTTGGTTGTGACCAAAAGCAACATTGCTAATGCTCTTGCAGTGCCACTCAAGGGTGTCACACAACTGTACAGTGTCTCACTTGGGTTGGTCACTCAAGCTCTTGATAGAAACCTCAAACGGAACAAGACCCGCAAACATGGCCTCCCCACAAGGAAATTTAAGGTCAGACAACCGCTTGAGAAGCTTATCAAGGTAATTCGTGTTCATCTTCAGCTATTGTTTTTGCCTTGTTTTCTGCTGCTTATAACATTTCTCATCTACACCCAACAGTGTCACTGCTCCTTTAATATCTCTTTTTCTTTTTCATTTTTTTATTTTCACTTAAATATGGTTTTATTCTTCAAAATAGTTTTTATAATTTTTTTACATTTTAAAAATTATTAATTTTGATTTTTATTACTGACGTGATTTAGAAAAACACACCTGATACAAAAATTGATCGATATGAATGTTTCTAGATTATTTTACGGTGATTAGAGAATAAAATTGATAAGTTTTAAAAATATAGAAAGTAGAAATAAAATAATTTTATAAAATTAAAATTCAATGTATTCTTTTTATATGTCAACACTCCAGGTGTCTATTAAATATTTTCTTATTACTAATAACTATTTTTTGTTGAGAGTAGTTTGTCCACAATTCGTGTCAACGACGCACCAAAACTGCAAAGTACTCGTCTTAATATTTGATTTCTTATAGGTGAGTAACATAATTTTTAATATTTTTTTTGTGATTTATCATATTTTTAAAAGAGTAAAATAATTTAAAAAATATTAATATATGAACTATTTAACATTTCAAAAATAAACTAATTATAAAAATATATTTAAGAGAGAATGTTAATAGCGTTTTCATGATCTGATGTTATAACAAGATTAGCATATTTATTTACTTTTGTTTGCATGGGAAACGAATTTATGATCCATGCTACAATGTTTCGTCCATTCAATTATCTGAACTAAGCGCTGTAAAACATGTTTTTTTTTATTATTAATTTACATGCATAGATGTTAAATTTACTTAAATATGAATCTACTTTAATAATATAAATTATGGTTTTATATTTAATTTGAAAATAATTTTATAAAATTTTTAATATGACAGGCATGTTGTAATTGGACTTTTATTGTAAATCATACGAAATGTGTCTACTTTTATCCACATGAAAATTTCCTTTACAACTGTTTTTTTTCCTCTTTTTTACAAGGCTTTGGATACTATAATTTCTTCAACTTTTCTAGTCACCATTATTATATTTCTAAGAAAACATACAACTTGTTCGATTGAAATCATCGTAACATGTTTTCCACGTGGCTTCTTGGTAGAGCCAAAAGCTTATTCTTATCGTAATGCATAATCTTACATCATACATACACGTGTCAATAGCAGATATAAATGTTTTATAATGCAACTGTTATAAACGTTTTATTGTGCGACAACTTGTAACTTAAAGTTAGCAAATGGTAAATGGTGCTGGTTACGAGTCATTTATATTCTAAATAGATCAAGAGTTGTGATTTTTTAATATTTTAAGAATTAAAAAGCATTTATATATATTTTAAATAAATTACTAATTTTACAATCTATTAATATAAAATTAATAATTATAATTATTCCAGAGTATTTTATATTCTCTCATTAAAAAATTGAGAGTTGTAGTAGGAACTGAAACTTCACATTAATTTTTCTTCATAAATTTAAACTATATTTTTCTCATTACTGGGAAATTCTATTTTTATTTGGTGTAATGTAAAAATAAATTCTCTTTTTTTATATATGCAAGACAAAAACACACATAATGTCATATTTCACATCATCATAATACACTGGTCTAGTATCTATTGACATTGGAGAATGGAGTTAAACATTCAATTTACACAAATAAAACATTTGGCTTCGCTAATTTAACTTCTAAAGTGAACTGCTTTATTCAACTTACATGAGGTGCATTTGAACAGTTATTCAATAATTTCTTATTATGCAAGGTGTTATATAGTAAATTAAAATATAATACTGATTAACATAAACTGAAAAATATTATATTTAAAAGTTACAAACTTATTGAAATAAATAAATAAAATTATGTAAATCATAAATTATTTTTATATGTTTTTTCAAAGACCCTAATTTAAATAGGAAAAATAGGTCAAGTAAACCACATGCTCATGCTTACATGGGTTAACCAAAGGTCAAACAAGTACGCTCTGTTTTCCTCTGTTTTTAACGTTAGTGCCTGTACATAATTTAACAACTTCATGATCAGTCACGTGTTCTTGCTTGTTTATGCTATTGGCAACATAAATTGCACGTGCCTTCTACCTTTTATTTGCTACATGCCATTATATATACCATGTATTAACGAAATTTTGTCTACAATGTGTTGATCAACTCACGAGGAAAGATTCTTAGTTGTTATATGGTTTTATAAACGATAAAAAATGTGTTCACATATATAGCACATTTCTTGGAATTTTTAGGAATCATAAATGTTTAAGATTATTTTCAATTATTGTCTTTACCTTCCCATCTAGCTTGATTACTTAGCTAGAGTATATTAATAAGGAACTAGAAAAATATTCAATAATATTATTTCAAAAATAAAGACATCAGAAAGAAAATGGAATACCTCATATCATGAACTTCCTTTTTGTCTATCAAACAATTATGAATGCTACAAGATACATACATTAATGCATACGTAAATAGGCATCTATTAATCATATGACCTTAGTATTTTTGGTAATAAGCACTGTAATTTTATGTTCATTGATGAATGAATTTTGTCTTGGTGTTATCTAATCATAGTTAAATTTGATTATATACATTAAATGCATAAAGGTATTTACTGAAATGCTAAAATTGAAACAGTTTCTTCGCACAAAGTATAGATGCACTAAAACTTCCAACTGTACTAGAACTGAAAGGATTCTTAAAGAAAGCGAAAACCAAGGAATTCTATTATATGACTTTGTGATTGTGAGCCCTTATGGGATAGACAACTACACTTCCATTGGAGACGCCATAGCTGCTGCACCCAATAACACAAAGCCAGAAGATGGCTATTTCCTTATCTATGTTAGGGAAGGATACTATAAAGAATATGTAATTGTTCCCAAGGAAAAGAAGAGTATATTGCTAGTTGGAGATGGTATTAACAAGACTGTCATCACTGGGAACCATAGTGTCATTGATGGTTGGACAACTTTCAATTCTTCCACCTTTGGTAAGTACTTTATACTCATTTGCCAAGACAAGTTTACTTGTCCTAAAACCAAGTCTAGAAATATTAAGTAAAACTATTCTTGAAATTTCACCGACAGTTAGGTTATTTGAACAACTAAAAATTAACATTGTATGTGACATTCCATATAAATATTTCTATCTCTCACTTGTTTTTTTTATCACTTTCATATGCATGAATCTCAACATAAGACCTAAAAAGGAAAGAAAGCAACTAAAAGTTGTGCCCTAAGAGTTGATAAAAATCATTTTCCTTTATTTTTTGCATTGGCAATATGGTTGTATCAACTTTAATCATATGGCAGATTCTTCAGCCAAATAATCTATTCTTCGGTATGTTAGAAATATAACTCAAAATCATCACATGAGCATTTGGTCCATGACTAAAATTTCATTTATTGTTATGTTAACATAGTATAAGAGTATAATTAGTCAGTTATTAATCAATATCTTACTTCCTTTTGTGTTGAATGCAGCTGTTGCTGGAGAAAGATTTATAGCGGTGGATGTTACATTTAGGAACACAGCTGGTCCTTCAAAGCACCAAGCAGTAGCGGTAAGGAACAATGCTGACCTCTCCACATTCTATAGGTGCAGCTTTGAAGGATATCAAGACACACTCTATGCTCACTCTTTGAGGCAATTCTATAGAGAATGTGATATCTATGGCACAGTGGACTTCATTTTTGGCAATGCCGCAGTTGTCTTCCAAAATTGTAACATCTATGCCAGAAAACCATTGCCAAACCAAAAGAATGCAGTCACAGCACAAGGAAGAACTGATCCCAATCAAAACACTGGCATTTCAATCCAAAATTGCACCATTGATGCTACACCAGACTTGGCAGCAGACTTGAATTCCACGGCGAGTTACTTAGGCAGGCCATGGAAGGAGTATTCAAGGACAGTCTATATGCAGTCATATATTGGAGATCTAATTCATCCTGCTGGATGGTTAGAGTGGAATGGCACTGTTGGATTAGACACCCTCTTTTATGGTGAGTACAACAACTATGGTCCTGGTTCTAACACTAGCAATAGAGTACAATGGCCTGGTTACTTTCTTTTGAATGCCACTCAAGCTTGGAACTTCACAGTCCTTAACTTTACATTGGGAAACACATGGCTTCCTGATACAGATATACCCTATGTTGAAGGATTACTAAGTTAGACAACTGAAAGTTTATATTGAAAAGTTAGTTTTGTTTCAATATTTCTTAGATGTAATGTAATCATATAGTTTTCTTTATAATGGAAGACCATCCAAAGGGGATGAAAGTTCTGAATGTTTTGACAAAAGCTCAAGCCTCAATAAGAATATGTAACTATGTAAGTTCCCAGAAATAATCTATTCAAAAGCAATTAGGATTGGGTTCAAATTGACTCTGCTATCTCAATGTAGCCTTTATTTTATTGCAAGATGGGTGTCGAGTTGCAAAATTGCAGTGTTATCTCTAATAAACTTGAAAGACATAGAGACTGAAGAAAACATAGTAAGTATGGAAAAAGAAAAACCAAACTAAAAGAAAGCATAATTAGGTCCCTCTAGTTTAGATTACATACAAGTTTTGACCCCTTTATTTATTTTTTTATCTAATTAAGTTTTATAATTAAGCAAATTTAGTTCTCTTTCAATTTTCGTCTACCTTAGATGTGCAAATTTTCATTTTATAATTAAATGTTTTACAAATTGAATCAATTAAATTATCTTCTACTTAAAAAGTCACTAGTTAAAATAACAAATTACATCCAAAATTTTTAAAAAAAGGCACTTCAAACCCTAATTTTATGTTTTAGCAAATTCTTCAAAGTTTATCAATTTTTACTAAACATGTTGATTCTAAATTTATAAAATAATTTCATATCTCAAATCCATTATAAACCCTCAAGTAATTGGATAAAAAGAAAATAACAACCGGTGGATTTGAAGTATATAAAAACAAATTTTGCTTAATTTTAAACTAAAGGGGCTTAATTAGTTAGAAAAATTTGAAAGATCAACATAGCAAACAGCATAAACTAGAGGAACTAAAAGTACAATTAAATCATAAAAGAATTAGTATACAATATCAAATGAATATTTCAAATCAAGAAGATCATGGGAAAGGAAAAATAAAATAAAATTAAAAGGTGCAATCAATTTAACAAAGGGAGCTGTTCAAATTGCACATCATGGCTGTTGTCACAGATCAGATTTGAATGGGGCACCTAATGCAGAAATCCACCTGCCTGCTTGAAGAAAACTCTTGATTGTAAATTTGCTGGCTTGTTCTCTAGTAATGGTTCTTAAATTCTGCATAAAAAATGGTATCTGGTGCTGAATTCCCTACCCATAGAAATCAACCATTTGGGTTCACAAAGCTTTCAATTCTAGATCTCACGTACACTGTAATTGAGTAATTTATCCAGGGTCTTCCAAGGTGAAACGTTGCAATATTGAATGGAGATTCCAGTGTTCATGTTAGGGTCAAATTTTCCTTGTGCTAGAGATTATATAAAAACTAAAAATTATTTTTTGTGATTACAATTATAAAAAGTATTTTTTTAATTTTAAAATATAGCTGTAATTTTAATTTTCTCAAAATCTGTTCAAAGTAGCTTCTATAAACACATTACTTTTAACATCTGATTGTCTTATAATCATACCCAAATAACTAAAACAATTTGAGAAGTGTTTATTTTCTAATTTTTTTTCTCATGAAATAATATTAAACAAACGGGTCCTACGAGACCCTATAATTTCTTTCTTATAAGCTGTATGAATTCAAAATTAAACTTTTCAAATATAAGAATCAACATCAAAGTTAAAAAATAAACTATTAAGACTAAAGATGTATTTAGAATTAAAATTAAAGAATAGAATTGCCACTAGTGAATTTTTTTTTTTTTTTACATCAGTTAAAAGAGGCCTTTTATATCGATTCCGTATCTGATGTAGATATAGGCGACGTAGAAAGTCCATAACTTTTTATATCGATTTTTTCGTATCTGATGTAGATATAGTAGAAAGTCTAGAACTTTTTACATCGGTTGTTAAAAACTGATGTAAAAAAGTATCACTTTTTACATCAGTTATTTATAATAATTGATGTAAAAAATATTCTTAATGTTTATCTTTGTCAATTGTGTTAGTATTTTTCTTCTTTAAGAGTTTTAATGTTTGCGTCAATATTATTTATATATTTTCTTAAGTTAAATTAAAATTCATAAACGTCAGTATTTATAGTATTCTTCGTATTCTTCATGTTTATCGTGTTTGTTGTGTTAATTGTGTTCATCGTATTTTTCATGTTTCATTATTGTTCATTTTTATTTAAATCTGAAATATAAATACCATGTAATGTTTATCAAATTGTTTAATAAAGAAAAGTAACAGAACGTGAAAAAAAAAATTAAAAAAATTGATGTACCTAAAAAATTATTGCATATTCATTGTAGTAGAAAATCACGGTGTGCCATCTACAAAGCTACGGGCTGCCAAATAGAATAGTAGAAGTCATTCATCACCGATCATCATTACATTCCATTTGGTCTTCCCTACCCTCACATTTTCATAGTAAATCCCTTTCTTTATCACAGTCCTTTTATCATAGTCCTTTTGTTAGTCTTATTGGGGAAATGTTTGAGTACCTCAGAAAGGATATTTGACATTGTATGTTATTCACATATTAAAATATGTATATTCATATTAAATTCAAATGTGAAAATTCAAATATTTATTTTACAAAAGAATATAAAATTTGTTGAGGTTAGATACTTTTTTTAATAGAGATTGAAAGGTCGAATCTATTTATTATTATGTAATGAACTTCAAGTAGATGGAAGAATCTATTAAAATAAGAGAGAGAGAGAGAGAGTATTAAATATCTTAGACAGTAGAATTAGAAGATTGATATTGTTTGAAGTTGCTTTCTTACATAAATAGTACATCATTATGCCTATATTATTTATTTATGTTATAGATTTTAAGATTTCTCTTACACCTATCAAGAAATTGAACTTGAAGAAATGAATGACATAATGAGTGGAGACTCAAATTGTACATACTCCTTGCATGATGTCAAATTAAGTGTTTATATATGCATAAGTTTTATATATCATAATCTTGCATTGATTTGAAAATTTATTACGTGTATGCTTATAAATGAATAGCAAGAATCGTTTTACAGTATTAAATGAGGTTAATTTATAGAATTTAAGATTATAAACCGATTTATAGTTTCACATGTATATTTTCTTCTCTTTTCTTTAAAATTCTAACTATTTTATGAGAATATCAAAAGTCTTGCCTCCTTTTATCTTTTGTTATGCAATTTTTTTTATAGTGTGTTTGAAAAGGCACATGTGTATTCGAGAATTCTAGTAAGATTCCTATCAACAAGAGTGTTATGTTTAAGAATACAGTTACGTTACTCGGATCATAGTCACGTAGCAATTTTTCTACTCTTATGTAAAATCCTATAAGTCATATAGGATGAGTAAAAGTTATTATTACATGATTCTTTGATGTTAATTTTTATTAATTTGGTATTATTCTAGTTATGAATTTAACATTATGAGATGTATTAGATATTTGAAAATAAAATATGAGACACCTTATATTTTGTTTAAATGTTAAGTTAATCTCTGAAATCTCTTAAAAAAATATATAAAAAATTGCTTATAACTTAATAGTATAATTTGATTGAATTGTACATGTAATAAATTTTATGGAGAGTAGTTTACCTAAATAAGAATAAAATTTATTGAAGTGTACATTGAAAGTTAAATACTACAAATTTTTTTAAAAGTATTTTCATTGTAGAAAAAATCGTTACACAATGAATTACAGTAAAAAAATAACTATTCTTATTTTTAGTAATTCTACATTTTTATTTATTTATTTTTAGAACAAAAGAATTTATTAAGCGGAGTACCTAGGGTCTCCCAATCTTTATATGTATATAACAACACACAACACATCAATACATGAAAGAGGGTTTGACAACTGATTATAAAAAGAAAGAAATGAAAAAGAAGTGCATTTTGTTTAGACGAGAGTTAAAATAAAGAAACAAATAAAAAAATAATATGATAAAAAATAAAGTGAAAAATATATATTATTTAAATAATAAAAATAAGAGTGAAATAAATAAATAAATCTTAATTTATTTAGATGAATAAAAAAGAAAATACAAATAAATAAATAAATACTATTTAAAAATTATTTATAGCAATCATAACAAATTATTTTGACTAAAAATAAAATTTTTATCATAAAATTTTTTAATTAATAATTTCCAATTTTTTATATTATTTTTTATTCTTTTCCAGTGGACAGTGGGCCCCAGCTGTAATAATCACTGATCTCCCCTATTTTTTGTTTTTAACATTTAAACACTTTTTTTTTTTCTCTCTTAATGTTAATGGAGAGGACCGTTTTACGTTAGTAATGTCATCATATAGTCTTAAGTTTGATATTGAAATCTATGAGAAAAAATAATATTTTCCGCTTCTATATCTTTATTTTGAAAAACTAATATTCCATTTATACTGGTTGAAAATACATTCTAAAAATATAAAATAAATGATAGATTAAAAATCCAAGTCGAAATATAAAATAAAAATAATAGGAAAAAATATTGTCATTTCTACCGTCAATTCAACGTAAAACTTTCATATTAATGAATATCGGATGTAATTTTTCAGAATTTTAACCTGTAAAGTTTAACCTGATAAAATCTATTTTTAGTGAATTGAATTTATATATATATATATATATATATATAAATTCAATTAAAACATACTGATAGTATACATTTTTTATGTTATCATTTAAATATTAATTAGAATTATTGACTTTTATATTATTTAATTTAAAATTATATTTACGTTGTATTTTAATTTGTTGACATTGTAAATAATTTTATACAAATAGCTCACCAAAATTAAATTCATACTTAAAAATTAAATTATTTAATTGAATAATTATATTCTTAAAATAAATAATTATTAATTATAAAATTATAGTTGCCAATTTTTAAATAAAAATATCATAAATAATAAATAATTTATTAATTGTGAAATTTTAGATATATATATATATATATATATATATATATATATATTATAGATATATTTTAAAGAAATCCATTAATTGTAAATTTTAAATTATTTATTTATGCCTTATTTGAAAAGTTATGTTTATATGAGAAAGATCCATTCTTGTAGTAGTTTCCATTTAGTCATATTTTTAATATATATATCCATTTATTATTTATTTTAATAAAGATATATATATATATATATATATATATATATATATATTTGATAGAAAATAATGTTTGAAATGTGGGTATTAGATAAACAAGAATTTATTGAATGTTAACTTTTTTCAAAACGATTATAAGGTTGCACATATAGAAAATATATTGATCATATCTTCAATTTTAAAAATGGAATATAATTAAATTTCATTTCATGTAAAACCTAGAAATTGAAGAAAAAGGAAAAGAAAAAGAAAGTTATAAGTTTTATTCTAATAATGTCACAATCCATTCATTCAGATTTGAATTTAAATTTTTTATTTACTAAAATAGTAAAACTTTAATTTTGCATAGCCTTATTTCCTTTTAATTAACAATTTACTGAAATAAAAGATGATTCACGTTCTGTATTTTAATTCACGACAGCTGAAATAGTGTTTATATTAATTTTTTAATTTAGACCACAATTTTTTTTATAAAATATAATTATATTTGAGTTAATAACCGATGGCTTAACTCTTTTGATTATTTTCCTTTTATATATAAGATTTTAACTAAAAATTGTACTTAAAAAATCAGTATTTGAACTAATATTCATGTTATTCCCTTTGTCAACACATAATTAGTACGCAAACTATTTGCAATTATCCTGGTTTGAACGGATAAGAGAATTCAACCTAAGACAAATTTTAAGTTATCCATGAATTTACGAAGACAGATGAAATAGAGTAAAATAAATATTTTTTCATTAGTTGATTAATTTAAAATGTTATTTATTTTTTATATCTTTTATTTTTTTTTAATTGGGTATATGGGTTGATGATATGATTTTTTCCATCATAAAAAATATTCAATCAATAAAATGGTAATTAATTAATTTTTATTTCATTAAATTTTACTCATTATTAAATGTTTAAATATACGCTAAAGTATTGCGGGTTAAAGTAGTGTATGATAACCATATTTCTTTTCACAAAGCTTTCCATCGTATCCAAACGCCAATAATCATCTTAACATTATTGAAACATAGCTTACCATAATTATATAGTTTACCCTTCTATATAAGATTAGTGTTCTTATCGTTGCTTTTATCTCACTAAACAATCTCTACATATTTTTCTCTCGATCCTTAACTCATTTTCAGCTCAACCATTTCTCTTTTTGCTCCTTCGTGGGTGAACTTTTTATGCTTTATTTTATCCATCAATTGGTTATTTCATGGCATCAACATAATTGTTGGTATGATTGAAACCTTTGCTCTTTGTCACTTCTCTTAATTTCTTGAATCTTCCATTTACTTTGGTGTTGTATTCTTACTTGATTCATTTCAATGTGATTAGAAAGAATTACAACATTGTTAGGGTCATATATTTGCTTACTTCATAATATTTTGTTATAATATTTTTATATATCTCTTTTAGTCATCACTTCATATATTTTATGTAACATTTTTTTTTCTCTCTATTTCTTTCTCCTTCATGTAAATATATTGTTGTGAGAAATATAGGTACAAATAACATTACTCTTATGTCATTGTACCATTCCAAATTTTGAGTTTTGCATGGAGATTAGACCATCAAATTGAATGTGTCTTTGGCACGATAGATAAAGTGTTAGATTTGAGTTTTTTAAATTTTTTATATTTTAATCTCTATGTTTTTATCTTTAATAATGATGTAACTAATCAAAAGATTGACACATGCTGGTTTTTTTGTTGCTACACGATTCAATTTTTGCTACATTTTTGCAAGGACCAAAAGTGATAAACTTAGCCATTTTCTTTTACATCAATCTTACTGATATGTTTATCATTTTTTAATGTATCCAACGACATACAGTAGTAAATGAATAAAAAAAGTTATTAAAAATTTATAGTTTTTAATAAAAAAATTATTATACATAATTTATCAAACACGTATTAGAAAATTCGTAAATTTATTTGTGTATTTTTCTTTAGAAAAGTTTGGAGCAACTTTTAATAATATCTTGCAATTAATACAGGCGTGACTTGTAGCTGATCATAAAACTTGGGGGAGGCTTTTGGATTCTTAGTTCTTAAATTCCCACATACAAGTAAGTATGTTTTCTTTAATTTCTTCAATTAACTCGTTTTAACTTTTTTGTTATTATAGTTTTCGCTTTTATGGTAAAACAAAGTAACTTCTCTCGTCTTAAAACAAACGAGTGATGATATGTTTGATTTAATGAATAAAAAAATAAATATGCATATCCATATTAATTATCCCTTAGAAATTAATTAATATTTAATTTTTCAAACAAATTTATAATTGAATAAAAATTATATTTTTTTTAAGAACATCTATGGAGTTAACAATGGCACGACAAACTTTCTTTACAGTACGAGAATTAGGACTCATGTTTCTTACAACTTATTCACATTTTCCCATTACATGATGATTCAACTTTTATGGATACATAAAATGTTATTTTACTCTTCATTCAAAATATAAGTATCGAAATTTGATGTAGCCCACTGATTGATCTTACAATAAGTTTAATTTTGTATGGATTGATTGCCAGAAAAGTGAAAGGAGATAGATTTGCAAGCAATGAATTATGTGGGTGATCATATTGCTAATCCTCTCTTTGACCCTTCAATGGGAGGATCTTCTGGTGCAAAAAATGAAGAAGAAACAAGGATTCAAGAACAGAAGGGCAGAGAAAAATTAACCATTGAGGAGCTTGAGACAAGGATGTGGAGAGATCGCATGTTGTTAAAGAAGCTTAAGGAAGAGAGGAGAGTGAAAGAGAAGGGGCAATCATTGGAGCAGCTGAAAAAGAAGACAATGTCTCGTGCACAAGAAAGTATCCTAAAGAACATGCTCAAGATGATGGAGGTTTGTGATGTTCGAGGTTTTGTTTATGGCATCATTCCTGACAAAGGCAAGCCACTCAGTGGAGCTTCTGATAACCTTCGTGGTTGGTGGAAGGAAAGGGTCAAGTTTGATCGTAATGGTCCTATTGCAATCAACAGGTAAATGATTCACACCGTCTACATCATTTATCTGTTCTTCTTATACACTGTAAGTATTATTCATTATTTAAAATAAATATTTATATTATTAAAATATTAATTTTATTAATCAATATTATCCAAAACATCTAATATATGTATAAGAGAGAGTACTAATGTAAGTTGTTTTCTCAAAAAATTAAGTGTACAGGTTCTGAAATTATGTGTATAAAAACATATAATTTTATAATTTGTTAATGCAATTGTGTACATTATTTTGTTTTATGGTCAATGGTCCACTAGGTATGATGAAGAAATTGGACTTCAGGAAATGAATGAGACAATGAGTGGAGACTCATCGTGTGCATACTCATTGCATGATCTTCCAGACACAACTCTTGGGTCACTCTTATCGTGTCTGATGCAGCATTGTGATCCACCGCAGAGGAGGTTCCCGTTGGATAGGGGTGTTATTCCTCCATGGTGGCCCACTGGGAATGAGGAGTGGTGGCCTGATTTGGGCTTCTCAATGGCCCCAGGCCCACCTCCATATAAGAAGCCCCATGATCTTAAGAAGGTTTGGAAGCTGTGTGTGCTCACTGCTGTGATCAAGCATCTGTCCCCAGACATAGCCAAAATACAAAACATTGTGCGTCACTCTAGGACCCTTCAGGACAAGCTCACTGCTAAGGAAACTGCTATTTGGATGGCTGTTATAAAACATGAGGAATTGCTGGCTAAGAACATGTTTCAACCTTCACAAGATGCACCGCTCACAACAAGGCCTAATGAAGCAAATAATCATGAAACTGAAGGCAACGGTGGTGCTAAAAGTATTGTGGGGGAGAACAATATTAGCCCCCCAGTACCAACCAGCAATATTCATATTGATACTGCTAGTGATAATAATAACAATGATAACAATAATAATATGCTCCCAATGAACCACAATAACCTTGTGACATCAGAACATGCTGCTAATAAGAGAAAGGCAGAGCTTATTCAGAGTATAACAATTCCTCATGAGGCTTATTCTTGCCATAACCCTCACTGCCCCTACCATGAGAACAGCATTGGGTTCAGTGACAGGAATTCAAGGAACAATCACCAGCTCACATGCACATCCACAGCCAATAGTAATAGCAGTGTCCAAATGGTTGGAGTTGGATGGTCAAAGTCAGTGTCTCAGCTTGGAAGTGGCAACAATTCCGAAATTGGGCCTATTGGTCAACATTCTAGGCACACTGCAGCACCAGCTGTGAATCAAAATCACACTCTTTCCGCTTTCAGTGGTAATTCAAGGGAAATGGGCTCTGATTTGATGGACATATACACTGCAGGACTACAGCAGAAGAACAATAATGTTTCTGTGGGAGCCAACAAAAACCAGGAGGTGCAAAATTTTGAGACTGAGATGGACAAGAATTTGTTTGGTGAACGGGTTGGTGGTGTCAATGGATACAACTACAAGATGGCTTCTGCTGAAGTGTCCAACTTTCCAGTGCATGCAAACGTGTCCACATCATCCTTAGATCCCCTTTTTGATTTGGATGCATTTGGTACCCATTATGATAATGGTGCTACATTCAACCATCCATTTATGGACTCTCCCTTGGGGCAGGACTTCCTTTGGCTATGAAGTTAAGGAAAAAGGTAAAATCATAAATTATCTGTTCTAGCTTTCACTCTTTTACAAATAGCCTCCTTTGGTTTTGGTTTCAATGTGTGCCAAATAATCCCTAAGGTTTTAATTTTGGCAATGCAATTTAAACATGTGGCAAATTACTCTCGGTTTTTAGCAAACATGAATGATTTGGAGCTTCATGATTTGCCATGTGTTGAAAATTTGAGTAGAGTAATTGCTAGAATTAGAACAATGGGGATTATTTTTTACACACTGAAAATTATGATGGATTACATAGTTGCCAAAACTGTAACTGGAAGAGTCTATTTGACTATGATTGAGAATTAAAACGGGTAATTTCATGTTCATAGAAGTTATTTGTCCTTGAGAGGTGTGTCATCTAAGATGGTTATGTGGGGAAGCTTGTTAGTATTGTCTATCATATTAGAGTCAAATAAAACGTAGGGTCTTGTCCTTTTTCTGATGTCCATGTCAGGTATGTTTTAATGATAATGTAAAGGATGAAAAATGATTATGTCAAGGGGTTGGGGTCATGTCATTGTCGGAACAAGCATGCCATGCTTAATTATGTAAATCTTTGCAAATTATGTATATGTCTTTGAATAAGTTCTACTATTATGCTATTTATTGTGTGGAAGAATTTTAATTTAATTACCTTTTCACGTTGGGAGAATTTTACTTGCATGGACAAATGCCTTATTTTATTTTCATTGAGAGGATTAAAGAACGAACCTCTATTAAATTATGAATATTACACACACACACGGATATATATATGGTTCTTTAATTAACATATGGTTCTGAATTAATCCATCCATTCGTGTTCGAGTATTTGTACCATGTTATTTATTTTACTATATCCATTTAGAGAAAAGTAACTCATTTTATTTGTAGTGATCGAGAGGACTGGATATGAAAAGTGTCCAAATGAAAACATAAAAATAAAGTTCAAGGTTGCTACCGTTACTATCCCATTTCTTGGGCATGCTTTCTTTTAATTATAATTATAATTTTCAAGTGAAGATTATTATTATTATTTTATTGAACTCTGGCGAAAAGAAAATTAAGAAAGGAGTAGAAACAACATTATAGTAACATGCATGTTTATAATAATAGCAGTAGAACAATTGTTAAGTCATTAATCCAACATAAGTTTAAGTTTAAATAAAATATCAAAAAATGTCTTGTGCATATTTTGTCATCACACCGTTCAAAAAGGAAAAGATTGAAAAAAAATGGATAATAATCTTAGGCATATAGTATGAATTTGTAGTTAAGAATGGAAGTGGCACCATCATCTTTAGCCAACAGTGATAAGATGGATAAGGCCTTATGATTGGTGAGAGAAGACAAGCATTTTCAGCAGCAGAGGCAAAGGTTGAACAAGCAATGAGAATAAAAAAAGTTGTTTGGAAATTTGATTCAGGGTAAAAGGAAGAAAAAGGAAGTGTTTATATATGGAGTTATTAAAATTTAGAAGCCCCCTAAAGTACTCCTTTTAGGTGTAACTTTTAAGTTCTTTAAATTTTAAAAAATGTTTTTTTTAAAATAACATCCAAATAAAATAATTTATCTTCCTTCCTTTTCTTTATTTTTCAATCTTTTTCTTTTCTCTTCCTTTAAATTTCCAAAAAAGTTAGAGAAATAAGATGAGTTCTATTATTAAAAAAAAAAGAGAATAAGTTCAGTTAAATTTCATTGATTAAGAAGCGTATACATGCATAGTACATTTGCAAACATGGCAACTAATTCATACAAATAAATTCAAACTCAAAATTGTATCACAGATGGGAACATGACAAGATCGCTATGTAAATGAATAAGAGGGAAATAACTTTAATGCACGATATTGATTTGGTCTAATGGGAGGCATTAATTTTTTGCAGCATTAGTTAGTTCCCTTTTATATGTGATCTTCAGCCACAGTTCATACATGAAATGAAATGCATGAAGTGGCCTACTTCACCATATGATCGCATAGCATTAATTACCATTGCGGGTAATGGCATTAACTGGCAACGTTTAAACCTCTCACGTGATTGCATCTTGTAATTGTAAACAATGGAGAGTAGCTTAATTAGAGCTGAACAGCGAAAAAAATTGTACTTCCAAAAGGTAAACCGGGCAAATTCTAAGGATATGGTCAAATAATACTCAAATTTAACATTACTTTTTATTTTATAATTAATTTTTTATCTTTTCCTTTTTAAAAATTACAAACCCTTACTTAATATACAACTATCAAAGTCCTAAATACACTTAAAGGAATAACATACAAGTAGACCATCATTTTGTCTCTCAGAGAAAGTGTTAAGTTTTTTAGTCTTTCAAAATTTTAAAAATGTCATGTTAGTCTTTCATTTTCATCTCTTTAAAGAATTTTAGTTTCTAAAACTTGAATACCGTCAATAAATAGTAACAAAATATTAACATATCATGTTAAGTACAAATATGAAAGTTGACTTAACTAAAAACGAGTCATTTCACTGTTCAAACCGTTGTACCCTAGTTATGCAAAGGTAGCAGACACTTCTACCACCATCATGCTAAATCCATTGTCAATGTCTCTTTTTTGCCCCATAATTTCTCCAAATTTCCTTAATTGCCCACTTGGCTATATCAAAGTAGTTCTTGTTTGATCTTATTTCAATGCTAGCAACAACATTATCACTACAATGGGTTGTTTGACAAATATGTTGTCTTCCAAAAGGATTATACAATGGCAAAAATTTGAGGAAGCTGCTAGAAAAGGGAGTTATATGCTCATATGTTGGAAATCATGCTCAAGGACTTGCGTTAGTTGCTAAAAGATTGAATTTTAGTATTATGATTGCTATGCTTGTTAACACTCCTAAAATTAAGGCATCTTTTTATTTTTATGTTTACTTGCTTGCTTGCTTGTTTTATTTTTATATCTCCTAGAAAAAAAATGTGGTCAATTAAGTTATGCATTTTCAATTTTTATTTCTTGTAATTTTGTAGTGAAAATTTGTGGAGGCATTGGTGCTACTGTTGTTCTTGTTAGAGATTCCTATGAGATGAAGTGCAAGCATATGCTAAGAAGTGTGCAAAAGAGAAGGAATTTAAAGAAATAGGATGAAGTCCACATATGTAAATGCAATCACATTGTTTCTCCATCATGCTCAAAGAGTGATTTTGGATTAGGTTAGAAGATTTCTAAATGGTGTAGCTATTACAAAGATTGATGAAGAAACTTATTGCTTATTCAAGGAGTTAATATGACAATAATATAACTATGTGAGGAGAATGAGTCTATTGATTTAAGGAAAAAATTAGGGTTCTTTTACTCAAAGAAAAAGAGAAAGTTGTTAATAACAATTTTTAGGCCATGTTAATTGATTTGAATAAGTGAAACAATGTCATTCTTAGCTAAGTTAGCTTCACACTTATTACTTAACATGACATATAAGTATTTTATTACTTTCTATTGATGGTATTTAAGTTTAGGGTCTAAAATTTTTGATGGAGATGAGAGGGACTAAGGTGACATTTTTAAAATTTTAAAGACTAAAATGATGACATTTGCTATCTCAAGGTTTAAAATAAGGATTTAGTCAATTACATATTGTAATAGAAAAACACATTGAGTTAGTACTTATTTTTATAACACTTTTTACCTTTTATTTCTTCAAATTTTTTAAAGTGAAACTAGAATGAATAAGTTCACGGTAGCCCAAGTTAGTTGCTTTTCTTTTTCTTTTTCTTTTTTGTTAGCTAGCATAACTAGTCCCTTTTTTCTTCTTATACATACATTAGGTATGTTGTATACTTCTTGAATAAAATGTTCACATTAAATAGTTCAATTTTATCTTTTACAGAATTGTGACATCTTTTCTATTGAAACTTATAACTGAATTTAAGAATCAACCAATTGATAATGCAACCAATAACACAAAGCTTATTAACCCTGTCTTATTCCTAGAGCAGTTCTTGCTATATATTCCTTAATTTGGTGGCACAAATTACTATTTATGTAGCAAGACCTTGAAAAAAGTACTTAAAAATAATATAAATTCAACTTCTTGAATGGTTCCATTCAAGATTAAAAACTAAAAGCCGATTTCATGATGTGTGGGAGAAATGCAACACCATAGGGTTGTCCTTGATTACATGATTTGTCACAAGTTACATAACAAAAAAATATTTTTTATATTGATAGAGTTTAAGGATTTTGAGACAACCTTAAAGAAAGGTTTTACAAGGAAGATTATCATAGAATTTTAGACATATTGTAAAAAATTCATTTAACCAAGTAATACAAAATGTGTTTTACCTACTTTGTTGAAAGAGTAATTCTAGTAATACACTCTTTAACATACTTTTTCTAACACATACTTTATTATTGGCTAAAATCATATGAGTCTCATTCTTTGTTACTCTTAAATTAATTTTTTTTTCAGTTTTAAATAAATTTTAGTCAATAGTAGAATATGTATTAGAGAGTGAGTGTTAAAGAGTGTGTTACTAGCATTACTCTATTCTTATATGGTAAAGTGCTATTTTCAACTAGTAAACATTATAAAGACGTACAAAAAATATGAATATTTATTATTCCTTTTAAAGGCTGTAATGACTAGAGTAGTATTAAAAGAGTTAAATTTTAATGATAGAATATTGCGTGTATGTGTGTGTGTGTGTGTAAAGAAGGAAAAAGGAAGATAAACTAGCTAACTGAAAAGGAAAAGAAGGGGTAACTAACTAATTGATATAGTGTTGTATAAGAAAAAATAACTAATACAATTATCTAGTTATTTATCTTGTATTATTTAATACTTTTCTCCTAAACTAGAGAGTAAATGTTAATTACTCTTGGCTTGGACAATAAGAAAAGTAGAAAGATTAAATGGTCTAGTAAAAATGTTTGTTAACTGATTTTGAAAGAAATAGGAAGAAGATCAAAATATTTAACCTAAAGCTTCTCATAAATTAAGTGACACTCAATTAAACTCATTTAATAAAGCATCTCAATTTTG